ATAGAAGCTGAGAGAGAAAGATGAATAAATATTTATATAGTTTGTCATGAATTTGTTTACCATTTTTTAGTTTTCTTCATTTGTTACTGTAGATTCAAGTTACCATCTGGTGTCATTCCTTTCTTCAGTATACCTTTACTCCTATCTGTTCCTTTGTGCAGTTTTTATCAAATATATTACATTTTAGTATGTTTTAGGTTGATCAATTATCATTTTATACAATTGCTTTTAAACCTAGTTAAAATAAGGAGAAATATGCATTTATAATGTGTTTTTTTTTTTTGTTTGTTTTTTGCTGAGGAGGATTAGCCCTAACCTAACATCTGTGCCAATCTTCCTCTACTATATAGGTGGGTTGCCACCACAGCATGGCTGATGAGTGGTGTAGGTCCACGCCTGGCATCCGAACCATGAACCCGGGCCGCCAACGTGGAATGTGCCAAACTTAACCACTATACGATGGGGCTGGCCCCTATACTGTTTTTATAATTACATATTACCTTTATTCCTGCTCTTTTTTTTCCTGTGGATTTGAATTACTGTCTGGGATTGCTTTCTTTCAGTGTGAGGATTTTTAGTGTTTTTTGTAGGGTGAATCTGCTAGTAAAGAATTCTCTTGGTTTCTTTTTCCTGTGAATCTTTTTGTTTTGCTCTTGATTTTGAAATGTTAATTTTGCTGGACTTAAAATCTTCAACAGATTTTTTTCTTTGAGCAATTACCATACCACTCCGTTGCCTTCTGGCCTTCATTGTTTCCGAGTAGAGTCAGTTGTTAATCTTATTGGTGTTCTCTTGTTAATGTTAAAACATTTTTCTCTTGCTGATTTCAGGATCTTTTCCTTGCCTTTAGCTTTCAGCATTTTTCCTATGATATGTCTAGATATGAATTTCTTTTTTCATTCTTCTTGGAGTTCATTGAACTTCTTGAATGTGCAGATTAGTGGCTTCCTTAACGTTGGGAAATTTTCAGTCAAAATTTCTTTGAATATTTTCCTTTCTCTCCTCTCCTTTCTGGTACGCCTATTACAAAGATGTTGGCGTGCTTAATGGTGTCCTCCGTTTTTCTGGCTCTGTTCACTTTTATTCATTCATTTTTCTCTTTGTTCTTTGTTTTGCATAATCTCTCTAGACCTAATTTAAATTTGTCAATTCTTTCTTCTCTGGTTCAATCTGTTGTAGAGCCCCTCTAGTGAATTGTTCATTTTTGTTATATTTTTTCAACTCTAGAATTTCTATTTAGTTCTGTGTCTTAATATTGGTAACATTAATATTGATAGTGTCATCATACCTTGCTTTACTTCTTTAAGCATGATTTCCTTTTGTTCTTTGAAGATATTTATAATACCTGATTCGAAGTATTTATCCGCTAAGTTTGACATCTGGACATCTGGGCCCTCTCACAGGCAGTTTCTGTTGTCTGCTCTTTTTTTTTTTTTCCCCCCTCCTTTGTATAGTTCACACTTTCTTGGTTGGATACATATCTTTCAATTTTTTTTGTTGTTGAAAACTAGATATTTTAGATAATGTAGCTTATCAATTCCAGATGCTGGTTCTCTCCCTGCCACCTCTCTTGGGCTGCACAACTCCTTAAAGTTTGTGACTTTGGTCTATTTTAGTGACCTCTTTTTCCTCTACAGGGCAAAGCCTCTGGTGTCACTTCTCAGAGGGTGTAGTCTTGGGCATGTGTATAGTCACCCTGGGATGACAGTGGTTGTAGCAGGGCTCCCTTTGACTGTCTCTTTTCCTGATCTCTCTTATGCTGTCATCCTCTGTTGATATCACACCCAGTTGATAAACTCCATTCATTGCCTGCTAATTACTCTTTTTTTATTTTTATTTTTGACAATGCCTGTGGTGTAAATTGCTCTCCAGTCTGATCAAGTTAAGTTCTGATTTCTTTGGGGTAGTTTTTGAGGCCAGTATTTGAAGTTTTGCTCTGATTCCAGGGAAGCTCTTGTTGTCTGTCTCTGGTAAACTAGTTGACCTAGAGTTTAACTTTTTGCTCTCATGTAGCTACCAGCTTCCTCTTCATTGCTTGCCATGATAATCTCCATTTCTTTGGAGAGTGCACTTAGGCTTAAATTTCTCACCTTCTGTTCCAAATAAAGTGAGTTCCCTTGGGGAGAACTTCATAGCTCTCTGTTCTTAGAGCCTGTCTCTTGCCCTGTGAAAAATCACTGAAAAATCACTGCACGCTATTCTGGAGCTGTGAGTGGACAAAATGTTTTATTTCTCTTGGAGTGACACCCTTACTTCATGAGCAGGATGCTGCATGGGGCATTAGAAGATTCATCTTCTCTTGTTGCCTTTCCTGGCATGTAACTTCTGCCCTATGTGTGATCTGGGGCAAGGGTGATCAGGGCCCCAGTATTCTCTGCCTACTGTGGCTGGAGGCTCTGTGGAGGAAGGGAACCTCCAACCTCTTGTCCACACTTGCCTATAATTTAGCCTCTGTAACATTGAGCTGAGGGGCATGGGAAGTGCTGGCACTCTGCCCCTTCCACGGGGAACTGGGAGGAGAGGGAGCCCCATTTTCTTCGCCATACTTACTCTGAATGGAGCTTCAGTCACAGTGAGCTAGGTGGGGGATGAAGGAAGTTATAGACTATGGCTCGAGTACCCCAGGCTCTCTGTTCTTACCAAGATTTAGTATATTTTCTTGAATAAACGTTTCTTAATTTGCTGGATTCCCTTTGGACAACTTTCAAAGGCTTTAAGTGGTGGTTTTTTAAATACTTTTCACTTGGTAGAGTTGTTTTACTAGGGAGAGAGTCTGCAGAGCTTCTCATGTTGACATTTTGTATGTCTCATGTTCTCTGTTAAATAATTTTTTGCTTAATGGCCTGGCATAGAATTCCAATAGTACCTATCAGTAGTTGCAATGGAAATTTAATTTTTTCCTTAAAAAGCTGTGTGTGTATACGTGCATGTGTGTTTCTTTCCTGTCTTATCTTCTAACCCCTATTAATAGGTGTTGGGCTTGCTCCTTACCTGCCTTTCACCTACTTGGACATCACTCCCTCCCTGTCACTCTTGGCTGTCTCCTCATTTTTGCTTTTGTACGTAGGGTCCAAATTTCTGCTTGAGCCACTGGAAATGGTGACATAGTTTGTAAACTGTCTACTTGGCTCAAACATTAGCTTTCATTTTCAGCCAGTCTCTTGGCTTTTGTAAATTAAATTGTGCACTGTCTATCTTGCTCAGATGTTGGTCTCCTCAAGACCAGATTTGTTGTATTTGTGCATTAGCTTCATGTGCTGCAATCCCCATGTAGCAGTTAAGTGGAAGAAAGGACATTATAGAATCAATATAAGATTTGGTAACTGTCTGCCATAGGAATTATATTTTAGGGCTACTTCACCAAGGCCACTGTCTAGTGATGACCTTCAAGACTATATTACAATAAGACTCTATTAAAAATAAAGGGAAAAAACTGTCAGATATGAATGTGCCTCCTTAAAGTTTAGATGCATCTATTCGTGAGACAGATTTCATCAGAGCAATTAAAATCAATGGATATTTTGCCTGAGGAAGCTTTCCATTGAGGCTGTGTTTGAAAGGAACTGCTTTTCACAGGAATTAGAGCAAGACATAAATTCATTGTTATTTGTGTTGCTGTTGAGTCTTATTTTGAGGATATTAGGGAATATATCTGTTTCCTTAATTATCTAGTGTGTAAATTAAATCTTTTTGAGGCACACTAATTACAAAATATTCATGCATAATCCATTTCAGTTCTTTCACAAGTCTTTCTCTTTCTCCCATCTTCAGGGGATGGTATCTTAGCATCTTTTTTTTAGTATTTGACTTAAATGGCCTGTGATGAAAAAGATTTTGAACCTATAATGAAAAAAATAATTTCTACCTCTTAGTGCATGGAACTGTAATATGAGAATGGATTTTGATGCGAAATAATTTGTAAGCCAAATAAACACTTGTTCAGATATTTTCTTGAGGTAGCTTGTTGAAGTTATGAAAAAGATTTGCTTTAAAAAATGAGGTACAGAGTGCAGAATTTTACTTTAAAATATTCTTTTGGTGAAATAAATGTACTGTTCACCTCTTTTTGTTCTCTAGGCAGCAGGAGCAATTCGACCTCTTGTATCTACTGTCATCAGTCCATCTGTTGATGGTTGCTTAGACTACTCACTAGAACGTGCCAGACACAGGGCAAGTGAAATGCCACAAGCCTTTCTATTTGATGTGATCTATGAAGCATATCAGCAGGTAAGAATCCTGGCTTCTTGAAAAAGCTGCTGTGTTGGGGGTCCCCAAGACAGATGTGGGTCTCCCACATTTGGAGGTTTGCTAGAACTCATAGGACTTAGCATATAGTTCTACTCATAGGTAAGCTTGATTGCAGTGAAGTAGTGGGGATACGCAGCTGGATTATATAAGAAAGAGACAGAGTCTGCAGGAATCCATGTGCAGTCTTCCTTTTGCTGCTCTCTCTCCCCTGAAGGGTCACACAAAGCACACTCTCTCCCCAGCAATGAAAATGCAGCAATACGTATACAGTGTTTCTCCTCAGGAAAGCCCGTTAGAGACTCGGTTTCTCACGTATTTATTGGCTTTGGTCACGTAGACATCTTCTGCTTAGCACATACAAAAATTCCAGATTCCCAGAAGGAAAGCAGGTGATAACATAAACCATATTGTTTATGAAACAGTCTGGGCACAGTGAACCGCCTTATCAGTTCACTGGGAAGACTCCAAGAGCCCGGTTCCAGATGCTGGCCGAGAGCCCCACCTGGTAAGCAGGTCTTGCCTTCTCAGGCCTGCTATGGTAAACTTTTTGCACAACTATGTAGACATTTTTTTAATTAACTAAAACTTAAGTTAAAGGTAACTTCTTTTAAAATATCAAGTAATTCGTTAATGTTTAGATTATACTGGATTACCTTTGTTTTTTCATGTTTTGGAAACATTTTTGTACCTATATAAATTTTACTGCCATTTGTTTCCATATTTATTGATTGAACAGTTATTGAATATTGGGTATTATGCTTGTCAGAAACTTCTCAATGAAATATAAGTTAGAGTGACTAATGCAGTGCTTGGGTTATAACATAACATATAATTTATAATAGAAGACCACAGCATATCTTGGATAGAGGGTAGTTAACCACGTATACATTAAATTATGAATCAATCTTGACTATCAGTTACTGTTTTAAAATGAGATTATATAAATTAGAATCCATTTTAATAAGAATAGTTTGCTGTGGTTTGTATTTCTTAAAATAATGAATTTGGATACAGGAAGTTACCTGTATTTGGTTATTAATCATATAAATGTTACGCTATTATAAATTTGAGTTTTTACTCTATAGCCTAAATCTTGCTGAGCTAGACCACATCTGCCCTGTTTTCTGAGATTAATGAATTTGTTCGTCTTTATGTAAACACTTATATTAGGAAGAATAAATATATATTATAGCTATATTTTAGAAGAACATTTGAATAAAATTGCATGATCCTTACATTAGCATTTTTTGATAGTTTTTGCTGGAGAATTAAGCCCTGTACACTGAGGCACTGGTTCTCAGTGTAGTCCCTTGGCCCTGCAACATCAGCATGTTTTGGAACTTGTTAAAATGCAAATTATGGTGCTGCACCTCCGACCTGCTTAATTATAAACCCTGAGAATGGGGCCTAGTAATTTGTGTTTTAATAAACAAGCCTGCCAGGTGATCCTGATCACATGAAGTTTGGGAAGCACCACCCTCCTGAGGCATTAATTGTATGTAATGAAATAAATTCTCTTCTATTGCATTCTTTGGAGAATTGAGAAAATAGTCACACAAAAATAATTGTCTGTGTTCTGTGGTTCAGATGAGGAACTCTCATTTATAGCATTTTGGGGGTTTTGATATAAGTTTTCATGCAAATTTTTTGGTCATAAAGGCACACAAAGGAATTTGCCTATATAAAATATTTCATTCTCTGATCTATATAATTTGTGTATATTCACATTTTGATTTTAACAAACAAATACTAAACATTTCTATGAAGAGAACTAAAGTAAACAGAGCCATCCTCGAAGGTGAAAAACCAAACCCAATTATACCAAAAATTCGTTTCCTGATTTTGATTGACTGAATTGAATAGGTTTTAACATAAAAACTATATTTTCAAAGCATAAACCTACCAGTGATCATTTCTGTTGTATACGTTACAGAGCTGATTAAAGATGATTAACATTTGAACTGTTTTTCAAATGGAAAACTTACCTATAGTCAAGGAGTTTGGCAATATTTCCATGAAATATTTCGGGGAAATATTTCCTTGGCAAACATTTATTGAATGTGTATTTGGTGCTGGAATACAATAGGGACCAAATAGACCAAATCTATCCTTTATGAAGGTTACTTTTTTTTTTGGTGAGGAAGTTTAGCCCTGAGCTAACATCTGTTGCCAATCCTCCTCTTTTTGCTGAGGAAGATTGGCCCTGGGCTAACATCTGTGTCCATTTTTCTTTTTTTTATATGTGGGGCGCCTGCCACAGCATGGCTTGATAAGCAGTACGTAGGTCCACGCCCAGGATCTGAACCTGTGAACCCCAGGCCGCGAAGCGGAGTGCATGAACTTACCCACTATGCGACTGTGCTGGCCCACTTTTTTTTTTTTTTTTTTTAATATTTCAAACATATTTTTTTACCTTTATTGAGGTATAATTGACAAAATTATAAGATATTTAATGTGTACAACATGATGATCTGATATAGCTATACATTGTGAAAGATTCCCCCATTGAGTTAATTAACAAATTCATTGTCTCACATACCTACCTTTTTTTTTTTTTGGTGAGAACATTTAAGTTCTCTCTTAGCAAATTCAATTATACAATACAGCGTTATCAACTATAGTCACCATGTGCACATTAGGTCCTGAGACGTTATTCATCTTATAGCTGAAAGGAACTACCGTTTTACCAACATCTCCCTATTTCCCCCATGCCCTATCCCCTGGCAGCCACTTTTCTACTGTTTCTGTGAGTTTGACTTTTTTTTTTTAGATTCCACATATAAGTGATACCATGCAATATTGTCTTTCTCTTCTGGCTTATTTCACTTAGCATAATGCCCTACAGATTCATGCATGTTGTTGCAAATGGCAGGATATCCTTCTTTTTTAAGACTGAATAATATTCCATTGTGTATATATGCCATGTTTTCTTGATCCATTCATCCATCGATGGGCACTTAGGTTATTTCTATATGTTGGCTGTTGTAAATAATGCTGAGATGAATGTGGGGGTGCATTTTTCTTTTCAAGTTAGTGTTTTCTTTTTCTTTGGGATCATATGGTAAGTTCTATTTTGAATTTTTTGAGGAACTTCCATGCTGTTTTCCATAGTGGCTGCACCAATTTGCATTGCCACCAGTAGTGCACAAGGGTTCCCTTTTCTCCACATCCTTGCCAACACTCGATATCTCTTGTCCTTTTGATGACTGCCATTCTAACAGGTGTGAGGTGATAGCTAATGGTGGTTTTGATTTGCCTTTCCCTGATCATTAGTGATGTTAAGCATCTTTTCCTTGACCTTTTACCCATTTGTATGTCTTCTTTGGGAAAATGTCTGTTTAGATTCTTTCCCATTTTTAAATTAGGTTATTTGTATTTTTGCTATTGAGTAGTATGAGTTTCTTATATTTTGTTTGTTAACCCCTTATCAGATATATGATTTGCAGATATTTTCTCCAATTCCATAGGTTGCTTTTTTTATTTTGTTGATGATTACCTTTTCTGTGCAGAAGCTTTTCAGTCTGTAGTCCCATTTGTGGTTGTTTTTTTTTCTTTTTTTCTTTTGTTGCCTTTGCTTTTGGTATCGAATCCAAAAAATAATCGCTAAACCAATGTCCAGGAGCTTCCCCTTTATTACTGCTAGGAGTTTTATGGTTTCAGATCTTACATTCAAGTCTTTAATCTATTTTGAGTTGATTTTTGTGTATGGTGTAAGACAGAGGTTCAGTTTCACTTTTTGCACTTGGCTATCCAATTTTCCCAACACCATTTATTAAAGAGATTATCCTTTACCATTGTATATTTTTGGCTCTGTTGTCAAAAATTGACCATGTATGCCTGGGTTTATTTCTGGGTTCTGTATTCTGTTCCATTGATCTATGTGTCTGTTTTTATGCCAACACCGTACTGTTTTGATTACTATAGCTTTGTAATATAGTTTGAAATCAGGAAGTGTGATGCCTCTAGCTTTTTTGTTCTTTCTCAAGATTGCTTATGCTATTTGAGGTCTCTTGTGGTTCCATTGTTTTTTCTATTTCTGTGAAAAATGCTATTGGAATTTTGGTAGGGATTATATTTAATCTGTAGATTGCTTTGGGTAGTATGGACATTTTAAAAATATTAATTCTTCTATTCCATAAGGACAGAATATCTTTATTTGTGTCTTCAATTTCTTTAATCAATGTCTTATAGTTTTCAGTATACAAATCTTTCCTCTCTTTGGTTAAATTTATTCCTCAGTATTTTATTCTTTTTGATGTATAGTAAATGGGACTAATTTTTTTAAAGAGGTAATTTCTCTTTCTGATAGTTTTAGCGTATAGAAACACAACTGATTTTTGTATATTGATTTTGTATTCTGCAACTTACTGCATTTGTTAATTCTAATAGTTTTTTGGTGGAGTCTTTAGAGATTTCTGTATATAATATCACGTCATCTGCAAATAGAGACAATTTTATGTTGAATAAAAGTGGTGAGAGTGCATATCCTTATCTACTTCCTGATCTTTGAGAAAAAGCTTTCAGCTTTTCACTGTTGGGTATGATGTTAGCTCTGGGCTTGTCATATATGGCCTTTATTATGCTGAGGTATGTTTCCTCTAGACTCACTTGGTTGAGAGATTTTTTCATGAAAGTATGCTGAATTTTGTCAAGTGCTTTCTCTGCATCTATTGAGATGATCATATGATTTTTATCCTTCATTTTGTTGATGTGGTGTATTACCTTGACTTTTCTTTTTTTGTGGATGTCGAGCCATCCTTGCATTCCTGGAATTAATCCCACTTGATCATGGTGTATGAAGCTTTTAATGTATTGTTGAATTTGGTGATATAATATTTTTTTGAGGATTTTTAGATCTATGTTCATCATGGATATTGGCCTGTAATTTTCTTTTCTTGTGGCATCCTTGTCTGGCTTTGGTATCAGGGTAATGCTGGCCTCAAAAAATGAGTTTGGAAGTGTTTCCTCCTCTTCTATGT